CACCTGAACCTCCTTCATTACCTGAACCTCCTTCATTACCTGAAGCTCCTTCATTACCTGAACCTCCTGCAGCACCTGAACCTCCTGCAGCACCTGAACCTCCTGACGTTAGTTTCAGGTGAAGTTAATCAGTACTACTTTCTTCAGTATTAGTTTGTTGTCTCACGTTAGTTATTTTATTTTCATTTCAATTGGACACTGGTTCAATATATACTTTATATTTTTATATATTATTGTGACACTAGATAAACACAACTCACATTTGAATTGAATGTTAGTGCATCTGATATTTACAGGATCTAATTGTAATATAAATAAAGAATTGCACTGATTTGGAGTCGGAGGGTCACATGATAAATGAATGTGTCAGAGGGAGCATGTTGTCGTCTGCTCCACTGAAGTTCAGTTGGACTCAGATACTTGGAGACAACAACAAGACAGTACTTGTAGTTCAGATATATAAAATGTTCAGACAGAATAGATGATACACTGATAAAACAATATATGAAGTAATGTAGAGAATAAAACTAATGTCGTGATTCAGATCTTTGTCATTTTCTGATTTTCGTCCCAGTGGTTCAAAGAATTATTGATGAATTTGTCCTTTTTGTGTGTTTTTGTGTGTATTCTATATGTGCAGATGGAACAAGTCGTCTAGAGGCTCAGACATGTCACATGACCTGTGGCCACGATGCTGAATCTGCTCCAAGATGGTTCCACCGACAGACGTGGGGGCCCCACGAGGCCCCGAGGGGGGGTAGGTCATTTTCATTAGTTACTTTTATTTCTCAGGACAAGATGAAAAGAAAACGGACAATAATTTCCCACCTCAACGTGTGTGTGTGTGTGTGTGTGTGTCTATCCTGACTCAACGTGACCAACGTGTCCCTGACGTGTTCCTGACGTGTCCCTGACGTGTCCCTGACGTGTTCTGTATGTGAGAACAAATGTCAGAGTGAGACTCAGTTTGTCTGTCTCCTCCTTCACTCCTGTATAAAGTCTAAATCCAGGAGAAGTGAGGACACAGCAGAGTGTCCTCCACTGATCCACTGAGGGAGTGGGGGGGTGATGAGCTTCGAACACGTGACACAAACATGAAGACACACAAACAAATGTCTCTGGAGACAAAGTGAGGACACACACGTAGAAGAAGTGAGGAGCTCAGTGCTGTTGTTGTTACTGACTGTGAAGATGAGAGGATCTTTGTATCCTGGGTGATAGACACACACACACACACACAGACACACACACACACACACACCTCAGGGAGAGCTGGTACATGATGCATGTGTATTTTACAGTTTGTGTTTGGTGAGTAATTGTGTTGTGTTACATGAAGTTGTGGTGTATTTATGAGCAGGGTGGTGGCTCAGTGGAATCTGTTGGACACACTGTTGGACACACTGTTGGACGTACACACTGTTGGACACACTGTTGGACATACACACTGTTGGACACA